GACGGCGATGAGTTGGATCCGGCTCTCCTTCTCTCTCCTTCTCTCTCCTTCTCCTTCTCTCTCTCTTTCCTCTCCCTCCTTCCCTCCTCTCCCTCCCTCCCTCCCTCCCTCCCTCCCTCTTGCCCTCCCTACCTCTCTCCCTCTCTCTCCTCCCTCCCTCCTTCTCTCTCTCTTTCTTCTTCCTCTGTCCCTCTGTCCCTCTGTCTCTCTGTCTCTCTCCCTTTCTCTCTCTCACTCACTAGTGCGTCATTGCTGATCGATCCGCCATAGTCGATTCATGGTGAGCCATGAAGCATTTCAGGCTTCCAACAGCTAGCAAGGACCTTATCAGCAAGGAATTTGGAATTTATCAAATTCGTTGGCTTGCCTGGCAATCTGTCAGGCGGCTCCAAGGCATTGTTGTCGCAATCTTTGAAACAGAAATTTTTTCTTGAAATGAGGGAAGCGAAACATGTAGAGGCAACGCTTGCAGATAGTTTGGACTAAAGGCAGCACAATCCTCCTACCTGACCTCTACGAGCAGCGAAGCCAACAAGAGAATTCAAACTGTTACAGAGCCCACTGTCACAGATGGGTCAAGAGGAGTCTGGGGTAATGACTGAGAGCTTGGTGATGGAAACTTGGGTTCCTATGCGTACCATGGTAGCAGCCGTTTGGTGCAACGACACCCGATTGACACAGCTTGTCCTCACGGAAGATCTCGCTCAAGGTCGCGAGGCGAGGCTGTGTTGAGCAAGCTCAAACTTGGAAGAAGCAATCTTGAAAAGAGCATGATTTAATGGACAAGTCTAATCTATGTGATGAACAGCACTGCTACTGACATCAGTCGTCGCACGGTCTCCTCCAGCATTGTCGATCAGGTTGTTACGTCATTTTGCTTGTTATTTCTCGAGTTCAACATTCTCTCACAGGGGCGATTGGTGAATAACAGATCCATTTGATTTCCTTGGAAAGGTGTTGGTCAAAATAGGGACGGTGAGCCTGCGAATGATTTTGCAGCTGAGTACATCAACCCTGTTGAGGTTTGCATATTTTCTACTATCAGGTGATCAGGGAGGCCTGATGACAATAACAGTACATGCTGGTGGGCCCTAATATCCGACCGTTATCAGAAATGTAGGCCATGTCCCGTGTATGAAGATAGCAAGAGGTGGCAAGGCGACAAGGATCCGGTGCTTTCTTGATTTCTTGAGACAGCATGAATACCACCGGAATCGAGAAACAGGTCCCCGGGCACAAGAGCCTACGGCTGGCTACACCGCCTGATTAGGCAGCATGTTGTATAAACAACACAAAGATTGTCAACGACACGAGTAAAGTAAGGATGAAGAAGATAGAGAAACAGAAGATAGAAGTCTCTAAGTTTACTGGGAGGTAAACTACGCACAACCACCACACTCACTGTGCATGCAAGTGGGGGAAATTCAGAAGGCCTGCCGCTGAGGAAGCGTTAAATAGAGAATATCCGGCAGAGTATCCGACGAGTATCCGTGGTTCCGGATCCTCATGGATACAACACAGCACCTGCGTACTTTGTCAAAAGGTTGCCGCGGTGCAGTAGTATGAGCCGGATGCATTCCTGACTGACCATGATAGATCTATCTGATATCTCTCTTTGTGTAGGTCTGCAAGCGACTTGTACATGAACATGTGGGTCTGCCTCGCCTCGCCTCGCTCGCTGTGGATTGTTTGAGCTCTTTCGTAGATTCCGCGGCTAAGTCGCGTTCAAGTTTGACGGAGACACCTCGCTGCTTGCTCGAGGTCGGCAGAAGCTGTTGAGCTGCTCCCGCACTCGAAGCGAGTCAACTGCCGTGCTGTCGCCCTTGTGCATTCAAGATCTACGACCAGCCGGCCGTTTTCGACCAGAGCACACTTGAGCAGCTTGACTGGCTACACTGGAATAGCTGGAGAAGTGGAGTGACGTCCTGGGACTGATGGAGCCTTGGACAAGAGTCGTGGCTGGACTGCAAGAAGAGGTTTATGGCTAGTCAACCAAGCAGAGGCTGCTCCTCGTCTAGCTATACGGGATCTTTCCCTTTCTAGAGCTAAATGCTTCCGCTTCTGACGAGACCCACGACTGCAGAGAAAACTAGGAGAGGTAGGGAAGCGAAGCTGTAGGCTGATGGTCCGGACTTGCTGATTGGAACGGTGCAGTCTGCAGCATCGCTGCATTCTCCACCGGCCTTCGCCTGAGCGATTGCCGTGTCTATCGAGCCCTCGCACAGGTCGGTCACCAACGTCTTGAGATGGCTGCAGCACACATTAACTTTAGGATCCGAAGTCGCAGACGTGCATTGCGAGTCTGATTTGCAACCGGGAGCGTTTCCTATCTGGCCTGCAAATACGAAATTGCAAATGGGGCCGCAAGTCGTAGCCTTCGCTTTCTATCAACAAGGCTCAGAGGTCATCGCTGCAATAACATGTACTTCACCAGTCCAATGCTGGTGCATTGAGCTTCTATCCGGGTCTTGCAAACAGCATCGGATGATACTGATGATGCAATTGCCGCAGCAGTCATTTTGGGATTATTATCGGCGATAGCCTGCGATTGGCAGCTTCCATACGTTACCTTCGTCTTCGGGCATGCCCCTAGTGCGCGCACAGGTCACGCCATCTAGTTTGAGAGCTTTGGATGCTTACCAGCAGTGAGCTCCTGGGTAGAAAGGTAGCATTTGCTTGCGGCAGCAAGAGTCGACAGAGCGAGGAGGAGGGGGAGGAGGAGGAGGAAGCGGGGGGGGGCACAGGGAGCATGGACGGAGGGCATGCTTCAAGTTCTTGCCTGGACCTTCCCTCGTTTTGTGATATTGTAGAATCGACCCCCCCACCCCTACAAACTCCGGGTCCTCAGAAGGTCGGTTTAGTGGTGGGAGGGCTATACCACCCCTGTGTAAAAGGCGGGACCAGGGGTAGTAAAAGCAAGTGTAAACTTCCAAGCAGGGGTAGTGAATGCAAATGTCAACTTCCAAGGGGGGGTACTAGCACTAATAAATAAGGAGTGCATTTGAAAAAAAAAAGATATCGACTTTCTCATTTCAAGTGTTAACTTCCAAGAGGCCAAAAACGGACTTTAATCTTGGTACAAACGTTTAGTCAAAGCTCCACAAGTTGGCTCCCCCACAGTTGATAGGCACTCACTAATATAACTTTGGCGCACTAAACGGATGGAATTCGATGACAATGCATGGAGCAACATGAACCAGAACTGCCCGAAAAATGCAATCCAGCAGAGCAAATGACGCCATGTTGCAGGAGCGACGACGACGACAAGAAAGGGTATTTGACCTAATAGAGAACAATGGACCAAGGGGGTGTTGACGCCGCGACATTTTTTCTCCCAGAACAAATCATTAAGTTGTCCTATCTTGGCCATCGTTGTGTTCTAGTTGAAACGCGGAGCTCATAAGCATGACCCGAGTCAGACAAAGGTTAACCGTGACTCGGACTCGCCGACTGTCCGAAAAGAAGCTTCGGACCCGGCGTGAGATTCCACTGTCTGGACTGTCACAGTTGGCTGTCTCGTATTCGTGTTCGAAACTGCGGCGTGTTTTTCCTCGCAATGTCGCGTGTAGGGAACCACCGCAAACTGAAACAATTGCTGTTCTTGGCCCGTGTTAAAAGGACCACTCCGAGGCTGGAGGTCTTCGTTCAGTCACTGGAACCCGTGGTGGCTTACAAGCTGATCGGAGGAGGGCAGTAAATTTCACTAGAACAGGAAAAGTCGATTCCAAAATTTCATAGATACACAAATTTCAAACTTTTTGTGATTGAACGAATCTAGAACAGAGTAAGCCAACATTCTGACATTGTTAGGTAACGTGACCACTTTCATTCCCACTGTCGCAATGCAGGATCCCGGGAGTTGCACATTCAAGGGGATAGACCAGAATGTGAGGAATGATCAGCCATCAATATCATTTGAAACAATGCTGGACGAGCTTAGAATGGAGTTCAATGTTCCGGCTGGGTCCTCCGTTGAACAACTTATCCAACATGGACACTTTGTACTCGACATGCCATACACACCTTCTACTGGTATCCTCACCGGGGTGCGGGTGTTGTATGCAAGAAGAGGTGTGAACCTTCATCCAGTGCCAGTGTCTGCACTAAGGTCAGAGCATGCGCACCTACAGGCAATGATCCTTCAGCGGTCATGAATCGTCCCCTTCATGCGCATCCTTCCTCCGCCGAGGATACCAGCTTTCCTGAGTCTACAATGACAGTGGAGCCGAGCCAGCTTCCCAATCATCAGAGGAAGCGATTGTGCGAACAAGGTCCAGACATCTCCCCTCCGCGGCCGGATGTCACAGCACTGCGTACAGGGATGAAGCCTGATGATGCACGCGCATGCACGATGAATCCTGGTGCAATAATGGACTCAGTCGTGGACCACACACTTGATCTCAAACACAAAGTCTGGAGAACTCGACTCGAATGTACCGCTTACATTGAACATATCAACATGCGAGACGGCCACAAAGAAGTTCGACAACCGCAAGTTCCGACGTTGCACGGGACCCGTGGATACGTGTTGAAGTGTACTTGCTTCACATGGACGGGTGCGTCTGGTCACCGAGTACAACCCGTTGGAAGCGGCCTGTTGGCATGCGAGGACGGGGTTCTCTTCCCTGCGAGACTTAGAGCAAGGTTGTCTCTCGAAGGGCTAAACATCTGGCAAGGAGGAAAGCTTGTCAACTTTCCAGGAGAGAACACTCCTGTTTTCCTCAGCCAAGAGACGGTACTCCTGGTGTCTCCTTCGACGGCAAGAGGCGTCGATGCCGACGGCGCGACCGTCGACCCGGCGGTGAGCGTGTGAAGTGGTCCAACATCTCATCTGGCGAGCTGGGATCCACTGTCTGGTGCATCTGTAGAGGCTGCCTGCCGCAGTTGCGCCTGGAGCAAGACCGCACCTTCACGCAGACGGTTGGGATGCAAAAGGAACCTTCACAACTCACGACAACACTTGACGCTACGATATCGTGTCACACCACGAAGCTGTACGGGCTGCAGACGTCTACAGCAAAGGCTCAAGGCATCTCAGTCCGCTGGATCACACACAAAGGTGAAGAGTAGAGATATGAAGTTTAATTTTCAACTGCTAAGGTGGTCTGTCCTTTCCCCAACACTTGGCTCACGAATTACAAGAGGTGCATCAATTGTTGGGTTTGCGAAATGATTTCGTTTGAACAACCCGTGCCTGCTTGCATTCTACTTATCTCTGCAAAGCCAACCGCAAGTCCTCAATGATTTGTCGCATGCTGACATTTTTGACTTGAAATCCACGTTTTCTCACACTGGAAGGATACCCCAATGCCGATCTGTATGCAAGCCAGGTACTAACATTTCTAGGGCCCTCTACATTCCAGGGCCCTCTCTATCTATACCCAGATTGTTGTCGCACACGGCGTTCATAAAACTTCTGAGGCAAGACATGGTCTTAAATTCCCCCGCCGAACAGATTCCTCGCCTCCAATTGTTTTAAGTAAACATTATCCAACCAATCACGAAGAAAAGTTTGCCCAATCTTGGTATATCGTAGTCTTTACGAAATGCTTCTATTCTTTCTGCTGCGTTCTCTCGCTCGCCGTAGTAGGCAGTATTTCAAGTGCGAGGCGTCAACCGTAAAATGGCTGGCGCACAAAATTGTGGAAATTCAATGCAAGCCTGCTCAAGGATAGATTGAAGGCACTGGTTTTCTCTGAGACCATCCACATATTACGTGAATTGATGCGAATTGTTCAGCCCGCCTTCGTGACTGACTGTTTGCAACAAAGCTTTCCTATACAACCATGCGATAATACATGTCTCTGCTGTGACATGCCAGACTTGATGATCCCTAGTTGCTCGTGTGAGTCAATATCTTTGAAGATAACGATGAGTCAATATCTTTGAAGATAACGATGAGTCAATATCTTTGAAGATAACGATGAGTCAATATCTTTGAAGATAACGATGAGTCAATATCTTTGAAGATAACGATGAGTCAATATCTTTGAAGATAACGATGAGTCAATATCTTTGAAGATAACGATGAGTCAATATCTTTGAAGATAACGATGAGTCTATATCTTTGAAGATAACGATGAGTCAATATCTTTGAAGATAACGATGAGTCAATATCTTTGAAGATAACGATGAGTCAATATCTTTGAAGATAACGATGAGTCAATATCTTTGAAGATAACAGTGGTCCCTGCAGCGAACCTCTGATCATCCGAGTCCTCCATGTCTCGAGGATTGTGGCACAGGCTGACACACCGTGCCGCGCACGAGTAGGGCAACATCTTTCAAGTCCTAGCCGACAGCAGTAGTCTGTGGTGCTCGTTGTGCTCTAGCCGACAGCAGTAGTCTGTGGTGCTCGTTGTGCTCTAGCCGACAGCAGTAGTCTGTGATGCTCGTTGTGCTCTAGCCGACAGCAGTAGTCTGTGGTGCTCGTTGTGCTCTAGCCGACAGCAGTAGTCTGTGGTGCTCGTTGTGCTCTAGCCGACAGCAGTAGTCTGTGATGCTCGTTGTGCTCTAGCCGACAGCAGTAGTCTGTGGTGCTCGTTGTGCTCTAGTGAATGCAGCAGTGATTGCTCTGGTGCTATTCCTCAAGGTTCGAGCCTCTAGGTGTGACACTACTGAATATAATATTTGCAGTGGGATCGTGAGTTTGGGTAACGACTGTGACGCAGACGGACCATCCGTATGTACCTCCAGTGAAGGGAAGGACGGCCTTCAAAGTTCGCGCGTCACCGAGTCCTGCTTTTCTGCTCGAAGTAGCTCCTCTTTTTTTCGAAGGTACTTTATTTCCTGCATTGTTTTCTTGATGAACTTCTGGTTACCCCCTTGTCACGAAGTTGCAATACCTGCTTCTTCAATTCTTTGTGTTCTGCCCCAACGTTCCTGATCCCTCGTTCTTCTATCACTCTCCTCTTCTCTACCTTCTCCCGTTCTCTCTTCATTCGTCTACCTCCTCTGTATACGGTCATGGAGATCTTCACCTATCGGCAGGGTCTGGTTCGCATGTCGTATTCCACCGCCACGAATCACCATTGCGCCACGTGAGAAATGAATCTGCCAGCAACATGTACAAGGGCCACACAACCGCTTGCAATCAGAACTTAGATGCAGACCTGAACCATGCTTTGCTATGATCAACAAGAACAATACCGATGCACAAGAAACAAATCATAGGCTCCCATTAGGCCTTTTGCCACGCACCTGCGAACACGACTTGATATAGCATGCTTGCCGGCGAGAAGAGATGAACCAGGCAGGGCGTTCCACATCGCGTTCACGTGGCGCGAGCATGCTCGTCTGACCTCCATGCCGGGTACCTTGGCCTCTCCATCTGACTGACAACTTGACGTCAACAGGCTCATCCTGCCAGAATAGACTTCGTTCAAGCATGCACGTCGCGCCATGAGCGTACCCTGACTCTTTATTATTGGGTCGTGTCGCTCGTTGAACATCACTGAAACAGCAATTTTTTGATGATGACTGATGCATCCCTGTTGTGTGCTCAATGAGGACAATAACTCTGATATTCTGAATGACATCATTTACTTGAACACATGGTTACATACAGCACCTTTTCACAGTAACATACTTTGGTATGTTACGAAATAAGCAGAGGTAAAGCGGAAATTCCAACGGGCAAACGCTGCTGCTTTCTGAGAATCAGTGCATCAAGCTATGCAGATTCCAGTGAATTGCTCTTTGGAAAATGTGTATTGGAGCCGCTAATCCTGAATGGAAGCCTGAACATCGCGGGCATCCGCTTGAAGTGAGGAGGTTTGTTCATGCAATAAAAGGCGAGTCTGCATAATTTACCGTTTGATGTTGTTGATGTTCTACATGACAGCATCAGGCATACTACATGAGAGAATCATGCAATAAACCTGATGCTGGAACCTCACACGGGTGCAGCAGGCCCTTTGCATACGCATTCGATCTTCTGTCCGGATTAGATTGCATGCTTTTAAAACTGAATGCATCGGTGGAACAATTGGTGTGGCACAAATTGACTCACAGCCGGAGACTAATCATTAGAACGGTCTTTGGAACGGTCTTTGGAAGGGGTGGTGCTTGGTCCATGGACAACGTCATACAGGGAGGGGTAGGGTGGAACCTGAGGGAGGGGTAGGGTGGAAGGCGCAACTTGAACATGGCTGGATGCACCAGCGGTTTTGTCTCGCCATGCAGGGCAGCAGTGGGCGGATCAATGAGCCTCGAGCGGTTGAGACTGAAAGCCGTAGACGGCATGAGGCCGGCTACTCTCTCCCCAATCTCCCTCTCCATGCATGAGACCGACAGGCTGAGAACTGCAGCTGCCTGGCGACCTTCTGCCGTTGAGGTAATGCGGATTGTCCTGCTGGGGTTCTGAAATTTGACATGCATTATCAAATTTGGGTTCGCCCTCTATTGCCTCATGTTTTCACCTGATTATTGTTTTGTGGTTCTCTAAACCAGTTTGTGTCGGCAGTTTACTGCTGAAAGTTGAAACTGTGTCATGTAGACTGCCCTATCTTGTTACTTACATGGTCTTGAATCGAACGATCTTGATGCAGGCGTTGATGAAATTATCTTTGTGATGGTTTGTGGTGTGCTCTTCTTAAAGGACTGAGGGAAAGATCAGGTGCGGGCGCATGAAAGAAGGGTTGCTGCTGGTCTGCTGGGGATTCTACTTGTGGTTCCTCTTCTGCTCTCACCTTCGCATGTGAACGCAGTCTCTGGAGGGGTTGCGGACTTTGTAGACGTGCAAGGACAGGACCTGAGCGGAAAGGATTTCTCTAAGAAAGACTTCAGTGGATGCGCTGCCAAAGAGGCGAAGTTTGTCGGAACGAAGCTGCGAGGAACTCGGTTCTTCAAGGCCGATTTAACGGGAGCAGATTTCACAGGAGCTGACTTGTCCACTGCCTCTCTAGAAGACGCGAAGCTAGACGGCGTTGTGCTCAAAAATGCGGTTGAGATGTCGCGATTCGCCTTGTTGCGCTCACATCCTGCCAGATCTTGAGCAACTCGTACACGAACCTGGGACTTGACAAGGTCAAAGACATCTCCGGGGCCGACTTTACCGACGCTCTTGTCCGCCCGGACATCTTGGTGACGACACGTTGTGCCTTTCTTGCCTTCCTCACTCGCTCTGTCAGGCGAAGCTCTGCAAGAGGAGCGACGCCACCGGAACAAACCCCGTCACCAAAGCAGACACGCGAGAGAGCCTGGGTTGCCCATAGAAGCAGGCTGAAGGTATTGGAAGGAGTAGGCGACCAAGATATGTTGTTTCTCCATTCACACCAGTTCGGCGTATCAGGGTTAACAAATTCGAAGAGCCCAGTTGGCGTAATCGAACAAATTGGGACCAGGAGCCTCTAAATCCCCTGACGCGCGAGCTGTGCGATCCCTCTCCTCGCCTGGTCTCTTGCCACTGCTCGACTTCCACATACCAAGAAAACCTCCTCGTCCATTCTCAACTTGTGCTGTGACGGCGGATGAGGCATCGACCAGCCTCGTCCTGTTGTTTCGCAAGAGGTTGAGAGGGCTGCGAGATGTCAACCCGAGGGTCCATGCACACATACTCGCACCTCGTCAACGAGTCCTGAGACTTGCAGATTGACCTGACGGCAGACATGGGAAAGGAAACGAAGGCGACGCTCTGGGAAGATGCAGGTAGTTTGATCGACTGTTGAAGCAGCTCCAGTCACGCACATGCCGCAAGCAAATCCTCGAATGCTCACACTCGCATCTTCCCCTCCGTTTGCTCCACCCGCCTCCAGATGAAGAGGCACAAAGCTTGCGCTTCCTATTAGGCTGAACTTTCCCGCTGGAACATTGAAACATCAAAACGCACAGGTCATGACTCATTCCTGCTGGTACCTGCTTCAGCTTCAAGGCTCGACAGGGCGATGGAAAGGTCATTGCGAACGAGCGCGTACGGACTAGCAACAGTCAGATAATCGATCTCCTCCTCTCCTTTCATGTGCTCCAGCCCAAGGCACAAGAGCATTCGTAGCAACGCCGTTTCTTCCCCGACGCTCAGAGTCCTGGTTGCCGATTTTACCCACGAGCTTGAATCCTGTTGAATCACGTTTACACCTGGATTAACGGAGACACATCAGGCTAAGTCAGTGAGCTCAAAAGCCCAAGGTACCTTCAAGGCCAAGAGGGAGAGGAAGCGACGTAACGAGCGAAACGCCTGCGACGCCTTTGACGCTCTTCCACCTCTGCGTCTCCCGATCATCGCAAACTTCTTTCATCTCAACTTCACCTTGACTAAGCGGAGAATGCTCTCCGTCTCTTCTCCATGTTCGCTTGACCACACAGGCAAGACAACATGGGATTTGAGCAAGCGATATCTTTTCAAGAGCTGCCCCTTCTCCAGCATAGGGAGAAGGCAGATTGGCGCACGAGAGTAAGTGAGGAAGAGGCCGCTTCTCGTGAAGTCTTTCCCGTTCATGGACACCTGCAGGTGCTTCAGGTGAAGCGCATCAAGAGCTGGAGCTCATTTCCTCCACTGCTGCCTGCCCGCAGGAAACTTCTCCCAAGCAGCTGTCTCCAGTGCCTTCTGAAGAGCGACCGGAGGACTCAACGGTGTTGACTCGCCAACGAGATGGTACAACACATGTCATCTCCGAAGATGATACAACATTCGCTACGATCCTCAAGTTCCCGACCCTGCAGACGGACCTGCAAGGCTCCGTGGAGCTGACAAACCCGGAGCCTCGTAGGGTGAGCGTCTCTCCTCCTCTGAGGAGGCTGCTGTGGGGTCGTATGCTCTCAAGCTCCACGCTTATGTACCTGTAGTAGTGACGGCTGGACGCAGAGAGGCGAGGGTGTGCGAGGAACATGGGGGTCTGCTCCTCCGACAGCGCAATCTTCTGTCCGAGGAAGACTTTGTTTGGATCCCCAATGTTGACATTGAGCCGCAGGATGTCATCGATCGTCATACCGTACGTCGCTGCTACAGAACGAAGGGACTCTGCTTGCTGCAAGTAGTGCACGTGCGGAGGCGCCTGACAGGAGACAACCTTATTCCCTCCTGCCACATCAACTCTAGCAGGCCTCTTGATGCGCCCAAACACGCAGTAAATCGCCTCCTCCTCGTCCTCCGCCTCTTCGGGAAACTTCCACGTTACGATACCACCACCATAGTCCGGACCCTCCACGGTGACAGCAGTGGAGGAGACGGCAAGCAGAAGATCCTGCTGCGAGGAACGAGCGAGGCAGCTGTCAGAGTCCTCGACCATAGAAGGATCCATCGCCGCTCCTTGCCACCACTTTCGCAGCACAGAGAACAGAGCTGATGCTGCTTCGTGCGAACTGGAAGGAAGAGGGGACTGAAAGGGATCGATTAAACGAGCAAGTCGCTGCTGTTTCAACTTCTCCGATGCTTCTGCGTCAGGTAAGTGGAGTAAGCCAGGACTAAGGCAGGACAAGCAGCAAACCTTGCGCTCTCTTGACGAGGCTCCTCTCGTCGACGATGGTTCGTCCAATCGCCTGCGATGAAGAGGTCAAGGGCTGACAGGTCTTGCGAGGAGATCAACCTGAATGGCCTCCTGCTCCCTCCTCATCTCGTCTTGACCCCATCGGATAACGACCAGAAGCTGCAGGACTGTAATGGCGAAGAAGATCCGCAGCATCCACGATCGCCCGCATTGTCCATGCAGAGCCAGGATGACGCTCGCTCCTGTCACCCCTTGCCTGCGAGCTTGGCGGTTCATGTGGAAGGAGCATGACGCATAGCTCTCATGGTGATGGCTGTCCCGTCATGCTCTTCTCGTCCTCTTCCCCCCTCCTTCACTCACCCATCCCTCCCCGAGTCCCTCGCCATCCCAACTGCTCCCCGCATCCCCGCTCATTCCGAACTTCCGACGCATCGCGGGACGCATCGACTCGCCCTGCGCATCCGATCGGGACCCGCTCCCGGACCCAGCTGTGGACCAGACTGTGGACTCTCTGGTGGACTCAGCCGTGTGTATTACGGGCCGGGGCCGGGGCACAGCGCCGGCCTGGGGCCCGGGCAGAGCTCAGTGAGCTTACTCAACGAGTTGCGTCACTCGGATAGCCCAATCTACTTGAAAGACAACTTGATCTACTTGATAGGAGCGTCTTTGAGCGAAGGGACGGAGCAAGCGCCCTGCGAGGTAACGAGCCGCTTGTCCTATGACCACGTCACCAAGGCAACGCGGGATAGGCGGCGACAGGAAAGAAAGAGCGTGAGGAGCTTGAGGGGGGGAGAAGATGATGGGGATGAGGAGAAAGAGCCGTAGCACCTTGTAAGTCGCTCGGCATTCCGAGTCGGTCTTGAGCTCCTCCACGACTCGATCCCAAACTTTGGCCTGTGGCAGGAAGTCAAGCAGCTTGTCAAGTGCGAGCAAGGCACCTGAGACTTTGACTTGAGCAGCGGGTCTGGCATCGGGTCCTCTCCGCCCTCCTCCTTGACTCGATCCCCTGCTCTCCTCTCAGCCTCTCCCTCCCTCCCTCATCTTCACCCACCCACTGCTGACTCCTCAGGTGGAGACAAGAGCTCGACGTTGTCAGTGCCCGCAGCAAGTACCATGCCTTGCGACTCCACACCCCTCATCTGATCGCTCAGTCAGAGGGGAGTAGAAGGATGACGTCAATGAAGAGATAGGAAGAGGAGAGAAGAGAAGAACGAGGAGAGGAGGAGGAGGAGGAGGAGGAGGAGGACACCTTAGCTGGCTTGAGATTGCAGAGGACAACAACCTTCCTACCCACCAGCTGCTCCGGACTGTAAAACTTCGCCAGCCCACTGACAATCTGCAGAGATGACAGTCAGGTAGAGGTGGAGAAGAGAGGAAGAGAAGTGAAAGTCAGGTAGAGGTGGAGGAGCGAAGAAGGGAAGCGACAAAAACAAGTGAGTGAGTGAGAGGGATTCGATGACCACAGCAGTCGACATCAAACAGAATTGTATCATGAAAGGAAGCGAGTAGTCTTGAAATAACAAGAGGGGAAGGAGAATGGAACGAGACAAATTGCAGCAACTGAAGAAACAAAAAGTGGGAGAGAAAAGGGGGAAGGGGGCAAGAATGAGGGACTTGGGGCAGGATGAGGATGAGGACGAGGACGAGGACGAGGACGAGGGAGGCAGGAATGGGTTGAGGAGGATGGACCTGACGAGGAGTCTCCTCCCCAACATCGATCTGCTCGACGAGAAGGGAATCGGCGTCAGGATGTTTCTCGGCTGTCAGAATCTAAAAGATGATGAGCCGGTCGCTTCTGTTCAGGAAGTCAAACCTTTCCAACGCGAAGATCGAGGCGGAGAAAGTCAGCAAGATCCTGTTGTTGTTGCTGCTGCTGTTGCTGCTGTTGTTGCTTCTGTTGTTGCTTCTTCTGTTCATACACAATCAAGAATGAAGTAAATCTGACAGACAAACGGAAGGGCTGGAGCAGCAGCAACAGCAGCAGCAGCAGCAGCAGCAGCAGGTACCTTCTCTTCCTTGTTGTCAGTGGGAGCAGCCTGAGCTGATTCTTCAATCTCGATTTTGCTGAAGACTAGGAGGAACGTTCATGTTCGCGACGTCTGACCTCTCCTTCACCTGGACGAGGATCGGGAAGCTTCTGTCCTGCAGGGAGGTCCTGCCACTGCAATACAGGTAAGTAGGCACCAGCACCAGCACCAGCACCAGCACCAGCACCAGCACTACCAGCACTACCAGCACTACCAGCACCAGCACCAGCACCAGCCCCACCACCACCAGCGTATCTGCGTTTCGCTAACCTCAGTATCTTTCCAGCTGATAGCCTTCCATGCCTCTTGGGAGAACCCGAGCTGAAGATAGATCTACCAGAAGAGGTTGGAATGAAGACAAACGACAGCAAAGAAGGAGAAGACTAGAGGAATGATCAAGAGCAGGAGCAAGTGCCGCAAGAGGAGCAGCAGGAGCAGCAGGAGCAGCAGTTGCTGCGGAGGAGCTGCGGGAGGAGCACGAGCAGGTGAAGGAGGCGGAGGTAGTGGAGGAGGATCAGCAGCAGCAGCTGAAAGTTGAAACCTTGAGGGAGAGGTCTGGGATCATGGGCTTGAGCATGACAGCAGCAATCCTGACAGACTCCAAGATTGACATAAGGACGAGAAAGCCTTCCTCCTTCTGCTGCTCGGCTCAGAACATGCCAAAGAAAGAGAGGAAGAGGAAGAGAGACGGGGAGAAGACGAAAGAGAGTTTTGGGATGAAAAGGAGGGAGAGGGGGACGGAGAGGCGAAGAAGAGGAGAGCAGGAGAGGAGAAGGGAAAAAGGGGGAAGGAGAGGAGGAGAGGAGGGGAGGAGGGGAGGAGGAGAAGGGAAAAAAGGGGGGTGAAGACGAGGAGAGGAGAAGAGGAGGAGAGGAGGAGAGGAGGAGAGGAGAAGGGAAAAAAGGGGGGTGGAGAGAAGGAGAGGAGGCGAGGAGGGAGTTGTCGACCTTTCCCTCTTTGAAGAGCGTCCATGGCGCGCTGTCGTCCATGTATTTGTTGCCGATCCTTGCTAGCTCGAGCGCGGCCTCACCTGCCGCATGACAAGGACCAAATGAGCCTTGAGAAGAGGACGAGGACGAGGACGAGGACGAGGACGAGGACGAGGACGAGGACGAGGACGAGGACGAGGACGAGGAGCCGATACTGTCATTGGAAGTGATGTGAAAGTGTTGACTTGCCGGCAGATCGGAAGTCTAGACTCTCGTAGGAGGATGAGCACCTGATAGTGCAAATGAAATCCAGCAGAAGAATCAACACAAAACCTCTCCTCCTCCTCCTCCTCCTCCTCCTCCTCCTCCTCCTCCTCCTCCTCCTCCTCCTCCTCCTTAAGTATCATCATCACTACAGTTCAAATTGATTTCTCCTCCACGATGCTCTACCCCGTCACAGCCGCTTTTCTCTTTCGCGCTCTTCCTCCTACTTCCGCCTCTCTCCTACCTCTCCGTCAGTGTCATGGCGTTGCTCCTCAGAATGTGATCTTGCGGCGTCTTGAGCTCAGGGAACGAGTCGCCGGCATGCTGGAGCAAGAAAGCAGAGGCTAAGAGAGGAGACGAGCAGGAGGAGGAGGAGCAGGAGGTCATGAGACACAAGGGAGCGAAGAGACCAGAAGAGAAAGCAAAGGAGCAGCAGGCAGCAGGCAGCAGGCAGCAGGCAGCAGGAAACCTTGCGGAGAGGGCTGAGGCATCGGTTCAACAGGTTTCCAAGGTCATTTGCAAGGTCGTTGTTGAGAAGGGAAGCAAATCGTTCCTGCGCCCGTACGTTACAAAGACGAGGAGGTCGTTGAAGTGCAGAGGACGAGGACGAGGACGAGGACGAGGACGAAGAGAGTAGTAAGTGTTTGACCTCGTTAAAATCTCCGTCAGAGCCGAAGTCAAGCCCCTTACTGAAGTAATACCGAACTGCATCGCTACCATGCTGCGTCCGGGGTCATCTCCTCCTCTTCCTCCTCCTCCCTCTCGCTCCTTTCGCTCCCCCTCTTGCTTCTTCTCCTTTTTCCCACCCCTCCACATTCCCGTCACTCCTCCTCTCCCCTGACCTTTTCCACCAGTTCCGTCGGCTCCAGCACATTGCCAAGCGATTTTCCCATCTTTAGCCCATCCTGTAATGTTGTCATCTCCCCATCTCCTCCTTTGCTCATCTTTCTCGCTCCTGCCCTGTCCTTCGGCCACCTTCCTGCTCTTCTCAGTGTGCCTTGCTCACTACTTCTTCGATGTCCTCTTTCTCCTCCTCTTCCCTCCTGTCAATCTCCCCGTCTTCTTGATCTCTCTTCCTCTTCACTCCAGTGCCTTGCCGCCTCTCTCACCTTGGTAAGGAAGCCATGGCTGTGGATGTAGCGAGGCAGCGGCACTCCTGCCGACATGAGCATGGCTGCGAGATAGTCAGAGAGAGAGGAAGAGCGGGGGGGAGAAGTCACCTGGCCAGTAAACCGCGTGAAACCTGAGAATGTCTTTGCCGATGATGTGAACGTCGCACGGCCAACCTCGCTTCATGGCGTTTGCTGTGAACAAAGCTTGAGAAAGAGGAGGAAGCAGGAGAAGGAGCAGGAGCAGGAGCAGGTGCAGGTGCAGGTGCAAGGGCAGCACAAGCAGGAGTAGGAGCAGGAGCAGGAGCAGGAGCAGGAGCAGGAGCAGGAGCAGGAGCAGGAGCAGAAGCACGAGGGGCAGGGGGAGGAAGGAGAGTCACCGAGAGTGGGCTCGTCTCCCTGCTGGAGGAGAGCAGAGATATATCCGAGAAGAGCGTCAAACCAGACGTAGATGACCTGAGGAAGCGATAATCAGACACGCGAAGAGAACGAGGCTAGAAAAGCCAGGGAAGAGCAAGAGCGGGCATGCACGGCGGGAAGGAGCAAGAGGGCAAGGTAGCAGAACAGTCCAAACGAGAAGAGCTAGAAAGAAGAGGAGATGGAGGAAGGGGGAGAGCACGGGACAGTAGGAGAAGTAAGAGTAGGAGAGAGGAGCTGCAGAGAGGAGCTGCAGAGAGGAGCAACGGTAAGGGGGAAGTGGGAGGGCGCATGCCTGGTCCTTGTCGTTGGGGACGGGGATACCCCAAGTAATGGAGCTCCGAGAAATGGAGAAGTCAGGGATGCCTGCTGGAAAGTTGAGAAGAGAGTAAAGAACAAGGAAGGATATGAGGTAAAGAAGAGAAACGATCTCAGACGATGAGGAAGAGAGAGGGGAAGGATGACGAAAAGAAGGAGAAACAGAAGGAGGAGAACGAAAAGGTGGAGGAGGAGGAGGAGGAGGAGGAGGAGGAGGAGAAGGAGGAGGAGGAGAAGGAGGAGGAGGAGGAGGAGGAGGAGGAGGAGGACAAAGAAGATAATGCCGATGCAAGGAAGAGGCCACCTTCTTTGATCCAGTTTTTCACTTCGTTGAAACGATACTCAGGCTGCAGAAAATCAAGTGAATTCTTCTTCAGAAATAGATTCAATTCTTCTTTCAAAACATTTCTTCTTGCATTGTGCATCTTCTCTTGTTTCTCGACTACCGTCAAATTATCTCCTCAATCACTCCCATCATCAACTTGACCAACATACTCTTCTTTACCAGCATCATCATTATCATAATAATAATAATGTTGATAATCCTCATCATCATCATTATCGACATCATCTGCATCATCTGCATCAAATCCTCATCATCATCATCATCATCATCATCATCATCATCATCATCATCATCATCATCATCATCATCATCATCATCATCATCATCATCATCATCATCATCATCATCATCATCATCATCATCATCATCATCATCATCATCATCATCATCATCACACCACCATTTATCTCCATCGTTCTGACCTGAACAAAGTCCGGACGATCGCGAAACAATTCCTCAAGCTTCTCCTGCATTGAAGTCAAAGGCGGAAAAGAAAAACACAATTGATGATAGAAAAGTGAAATGTTGCCAAGAATCATACTTCTTGTAGTCATCATGTTTGCATTCATTCGGTTCCTATCGCCACAACAGCCACAAACTACCAACCACAAAACCAAGCAAGAAAAACACTTATCATCATCATCACCACCACCACCAACACCACCACTTGCACCATCTCCATCTCCATCATCCAATTTCAATCTTCTATCTTCTACCTGATATTTCGACAGCCGGAAGAAATAATTCTCTTCTCTCCTGAGCTCCGCAGGTTTCCGATGAATCTTGCAACAATGTTCCACCTGTAAGGTACTTACCATCTACACATTCTCACTCCACGCTCTTCCCCTCTCCTCCTCCTCCTCCTCCTCCTCCTCCTCCCCTCCTTTGCTCCTTTCCCTCCTTTCCCCCTCCTCCTCTCACATCATCAATCGTTTCCATCTCGTCTTCTCCTAGATAGGCTTCGCATCCCACACAGTAGCGGCCGGTGTAGTCCTGATCATTTTTTGAGGGAAAGGAGCAGGAGAGGAAAAGCCGCAGCAGCGCCAGCGCCAGCGCCAGCGCCAGCACCAGCGCCAGCACCAGCACCAGCACCAGCACTAGCACCAGCACTAGCACCAGCAGCGGGAAGACGAACGAAGTAGGAGTAGGAGGAGCAGCAGGAGCAGGAAGGTTTTTATCACCTTCTTGTAGATATCTCCATTGTCCCACACCCGCTGGAAGAATTCACGAACAATGGCCTGATAAGAACAAACCATGAGATTGCAACAGCAGCTCAGCACACGGCTGATTGCAGGGATGTCTTTCATGAAGTCCATCATAATCGTTGTCGTCATTTCATCACCATCACCATCACCATCACCATCACCGTCACCATCACCATCACCATCACCATCACCATCACCATCATCATCATCATCATCACCATCACCATCACCATCACCATCATCATCACCATCACCATCACCATCACCATCAGCTTCAGTGTTACCTCATGTTTTTCGTCAGTCGTTCGAATGAAGCTGTCGTACTTGATCCCAAGCTGTCAAATAGATAGATAGGAGGTGGAGGTGGAGGTGGAAGTCGGAACAAATGACGAGAAGAAAAGGGCAGGAACAGATACTACAGTCAGCTTCCTTCTGCATTGAAAGCACAAGACCTTGTCCCAAAGCTGCTTGAACTCTCCTACCATCGCGTCGCAGAATTGTTTGGGCTCCATTCCCTTCCCTGTCTTGGCCTCACAAACATTATCTTCTCCTCCTCTCATCTTACCTGCTGCTGTTGTTGCAATCTTCTCGCCATGTTCATCACTTCCCGTCACAAACACGGCTGGTCTTCCCTGCCAACATTTCATCCACCCCTGCTCCTCTCTTGCTTCTCTCCCTGTCGCACTCTATTCCTCGCTGGTGCCTCTTCTTCTCCTCTGACTTCTTCACGTCTTCAATATCTTCATCCTCTCCTTCCTTCTCCCTCTTTTCCAGCTTTCTTTGTCTTATCTCTCTCCTCCTCTTCCTCCTCTTCCCCCTATTCCTCCTCTTCCTCTTCCTCCTCCTCTTCCTCCTCCTCACCGTCATCCTGTAGTAGTCAGCAAGAATATCTGCGGCAATGGTGGGATATGCACTCCCCATGTGAGGAGGGCCGTTGACGTAGTACCTGCAGCAGCATCAGGCTGATTGAGCATGCAGCGATGATCACAGCGGAGTGGTGCAGACGAAGGGTTTGTCGGCAGAAGGAGAACTTCCGGCCTGTCTGTGCTCAGCACGCAGGGAGATGTGGGAGTGAGGAGGAAGAACCTGCATCGCGGGAGCCCGGCTGACTGGAGGCCTTCGGGCGGAGCTGAATCGCCGTGCAGTAACAGCCTTGTGGCCATGGTGGCTGGCAAGGCGAAGGAACTTGGGAGCAAACCCTGCGAAGCATGAGATGAAGAGATGTGAATGAAGTTGCTGACCTTGAACTTGCCATGCTGAACAGAAGAATGGCGCCATCAGGCAAAGCGCAACTGATAATCAAGTTATGGATTGCTCCGGCTCAATAAAAAGCCTTCTGCTCCCTCCTCTCTCTCCTCTCCTCTCCTCTCCTCTCCTCTCTCCTCTCCTCTCTCCTCTCTTCTCCTCTCTCCTCTCTCCTCTCCTCTCCCTTCACAGATCTGTTCACCCTTTCCCTTCTCCTCTCTGCATGACATACCGCCAGAGCGCATTGATTGTCGGCCTCCTAAAGCAATTAGCTCAGGGTGTTAGTTTTTTGGCGCTGGGCGAGTGCCCGCCCGGTATCAGTGGTGTACGGTCACTGAGTGACCCCGGCGTGGCGGCAGGGCCGGAGCCCCCCGGGCCGGGTCCGGTGTCGGACCGCCGGTACCGCGCACGGTCACCGGGGACCGGGCTCGTAGAGCCTCAAGCCCAGCCTGGCCCAGTGGCACCGAGATGCGGGGGCCAGCGGGGTGCGGCGCCGGGCACTGCCGTTTCAATGCGGTGATCGGAAACTTCGTTTCAACCGGGCCGGCCCCGCGACAGTGATTTTAAAGTTTAGGCAGTCACACCCCGGGCCCCGCCCGGGGTTACTTGTACCAGGATTAGCGGCCTTAATCCGTAGCCGGGGCCGGCCCAGCTTGCCGCAGTGCACTGGCACTGCTGAGCCCTCGGGTTTTAGAGGCGCTCCGGGCTGCGGCGGTGCGGCGCACTGCATGCGCGGCACTGCTCAGTACTACCTTGTCCTCGTACTCAGCCGGCATTTTAACTACTACCTTGTCCTCGTACTGATTTTTAACTTAACTTTGAGTAAAGCACTACGGGGGCGTACCAAACACCAACACACGGTTAGTAACAACTCACACACGGTACAACCGTGAGGTGGTAACTGCATTCAATAAAACTGACAGAATCAACAAACAACGCATGACTGATTATGGCCAGAAGCTTGAGCCTCTCGCCGCCGAGATATCTCCATTTCCTTATGTCGTGCTTTAAAGTCATCTAGCTGTGAGCTCGCTTGGGAAAGCGTATCGGAGATGCTGGACACCAGCTGCTCTCGTTTCTTCTCGTTCCCTTGCAAGATCGTTGACCTCTCAATCGTCGTCAGGAGCTGATTCAAGTTGGTCGCATCTGGAAGCATCAACTTCTCCCTATCCATGTTGTCAAAAAACGCTTTCTTGTACGCTGCCTTGGCGCGTTTGATCTCTTTGCGGAACCTCTCATACTCCTCGTACGCCTTCTGCTCTCTCTGCTGGACAGCTGCTGAGTCTCTCTTCTCCTTGCCCATCTGTTGCCACTGGTCAACGGCGCCAGTGAGTCTGGATGACAAGTGCTTCAGCTGCTTCCCGCTCGAGCTCTCGAGGCTGGCGATGTCACGACGAAGCGCGCCGACTTGCTGAGTGAAGGGAAACACGGGCGGGGGGTGAGCTCGGTAAGAGCTGTTCTTGATCTCGTCGGTCAGGCTGTTGACTTTCTCTGTCAGGATCTGCACGTCATACTCGAGCTTGGCCTTGCCGATCTTGTCGGCAGACGATCGAATCTTGTCGTTGACCTGCTGGATGAGACCGTCGTACCTGCTGTCCTGCATCTGCTCCATCTTGGTCTTGATCTGCTGCAGCTTAGAGCCGTTGGGACTGCCGAACCGCTCCGAGGCGATCAGTCTCTCTACCGCCATATCGTAATCCAGCAGCGCCTCGTGCAGCTCCAGCATGAGCTGATTGGCCTGCTGGTTGGCTTTACGTTCTTGGCTGAGCTGGGCGACTTCTTTAGCGCTCTGGAGCCTGGAGGAGAGATCACTTTGAAGCTTGTCGACTTGGTTGGTAAGTATGCTCAGCGAGGCCTCGTCGAGGGTTTTTTGCGAGGACTGTATCTCCTTTCTGACTTTGTCCAGGGGTGACATGTCAAGCGGCGAGAAGTCTTGTCTGTTGATCTTTCTGTCGAGCGTTGACCTTAGATTTCTCTCTGCTGTGCTCAGAATTGAGCTGATTTCATTCATTTTGGTCTTCCACTTTGGATCGACAGACGAGATTCTTTCCCTTTGTTTCAACGCTTCTCGTTTTGCCGTCGCAAGCCTCTCAAGCAAGTCTTTCTTATCGTGTTCAACAAGCTCACACCGCTCGACATCGTTCTGCAGGCCCTGCAGCATGTCTCTGTACATAGCGTCCACGTCGGGGTTGGCCTGCTCCATCACCTTGTAGTGAAAGGATCGGACACACCTGTCAGTTCTCTGACTCATGGCATTGAAGAACATCTGCATCGCTTTCTGCCGGGTGGTTCGAATCTTGGCGAGGAGATCTGAGCGTTGTGACTCAGAGATGTCAGGGTCGTCTTTGATGCTCATCTTGAGCTTCCCCAAGTGATTGAAGTCAGGAAGCTGGACAGAGTCCAAGTCGTGCCCGATCATCTCCCACACATCCGAATCAATCTTGGCGATAGCGTTATCCAGCTCCCTCGTAAGCTTTTTTTCTTTGTTGTTTGTATTCTGTTGTTTTACAGTCTTTTTTCTTCTATACGTTGTCGCTCGAATCGCGTTCAGAACTCTGTCAGCTCCAGGCACCTTGTACTTCCTGAGCACCTTTAGGAAGTTCATTTCTTCTTCACATGCAGCTGCGAAATCTCCTGGCTCAGCCTGATCCATGGAAACCTGAGCCATTTTCACATTAGCTGTCTCCTTCAAGTCATTGTAAATTTCTTGAAGATCCGACTGGATGGATTGAGTGAGAGGCAAGCCCAGGTGCAAGGCTTCGTACACCCGACAGCGAGTCGTTTGGAAGAGATCCATCAGGTCGTCTGCGTTGGTGAGCCCTGTGTCCTCTTTGAAGGCATGCATCGCGCTTGTGGCCACCAGGTTCTTGGCGAGAGTCTCGCAAGCCATCTTGTCGTCGCTGTTGGAGCTGAGCAGGGAGAGGAACATCTCGCGCAGGTTCTCGATGGTGACCTGGTCCCCGCCCTCATCAAGCTTGGGTGTCTTGAGCACGAGGGGGATGACAGCTTCCAGGCCGGAGAGGTCCTCGTCCTTGACGGAGAAGATGGACCGCAGGCTCTGCAGCAGCTCTCTCAGCACATCCCCGCGTCCCTCAGCAGAAGCGATGCTGGCGTAGGGGAAGGCGGCGACGATGGTGACCGACTTAGCGACGGTGATGATCCCGCTGATGTTGATGGCGTTGGCGATCTCGAATGTCTTGCCACGCGTATCCTTGAAGCCGGGGCAGTCACAGATCGCCACCTTCCGTTTGGCGTCTCTGTACACGCCTGGCACGTCAGTCTGCGACTTTCCGCGGTCATGTCCGATGACGAAGATCTCGTTGCCATGGTCATCAGTGATGGGATCGCCCTCTGATACGAGGTGGACAGCGCCTCTTTCTTTCTTTGCATGCAAGGAAGACATTCCTTTGATCATGGCAGTGAGGATGGTACTCTTGCCTATTCCGGTCTTGCCGATGACCATGATGCAATGCATTCCAGCAGCTTTTTTGATCTGCTCTGATGAAGCATGAACCAGCTCATTGAGGGTTTGGATGTCAATGTCGATCTTTGTTTCTTGCTCTTCAGCATCTTCTAGACTGTTTCTTGCTTTCTTGGGTGTATTTGCTTCCTGGCTTTGTTTCTTTTGTTCTCGTCCTCTTTTCGTTCTTCCTTCGTCTCCCATATCTGCGCTTTTGTGAACTACCCTACCCCTCGTTACCGATGACTGATGAATTACACTACCCCCATCGGCATTGCATCCTACATTGGATGACCCCACCAACTTACCTCTATCACCCCCACTTTGCTCAATCATATACCACCCCTCCCTGCAATGCACACTCACCTTGGACTCAGCCCCAGTACCCTTGCGGCCACGAGAAGGTCGTAAACTTGAGCTAGGAACTATCATATAGATCGAGTGGGGGTAGGCAACCATGAAGAAGGGTGGGTACTCAGAGTAGGATGCTGGGGTGGAGGGCGACTTTTTGGCGCGAGGTCGATGTCAGTAGGGTGGGGTGATGCAGGTTGGTGGGAACTTTGGAATGCACACAAGCATGGTCTGAGGGAAGGTAGCAGGGGAGGAGGAGGAGAAGTGAAGAGGGGAGGAGGAGGAAAGAAGCAAGATACCAAGAGAGCGACGCGGTAGGAGGTTAAAGAAAGCGTGAAGGAAATGCTGATGGCAGTAACAAGAGAGAATTTTGTACTTACTTCACCATGAGCAACACATGCAGGATGAAAGCCATGCAAGATGTTGTCGTAGAAGTGGTGCAAGGTGCGAGGCAGAGATAAGAGATTTCATATCGTTTTAGTCTCAAGTAGAAAATTGCGAGTTTTCTACCTGTTGTTGAATAGTTAGCATTGCCTTTGCTTGATCGTTCAATGCAGAAAAAAATTTATGGACCGCGAGCATGTTTGTCGCATTTCTTCGGATCTTCTAAGACGCTTTGCTATTTGCAACACCCAGCAATCTCCCGAAGGAGTGGGTGCATTTGTAGCAGACAAGGTCATCTTGGATGATTTATATGAGAGAGTCGCAAGCGGGTCGACGAGGTTGTCATGCATTGTTGATAGACCTTATGCAAGAGAGGGCCTTGTTCCTGAAACTCCTCGGGGAGCTTGGGTTGATGCTCTTGCGCGTCTTTATTTCTTCCATACTGAAGATGATGAGCTGCAAGATGTGTGTCTTGAAATCTTCACATCTGATGAATGGTCAAATCGCTCATCCTCGAAGCCCATTTTCAACCGCGCAAGGGATTTTGACATTGCAGTGGTCCAAAGTATTGAGAGGAAAAACGAAATGTCAAGAAGAACAGAAACGAAAAAAAGTTACGTTGTGTTTGACAGGGATGGAATCTTCTCCGAGAAGAACAATCAGCAGCAGCATCGTGGTGAATGCCCTCTGTCTCTGATGAAACTATTATGCCTTGCAACACGAAGCGAGAAGGCAAGAAAACTTTTCGCTCGAAAGAATTGGTACTAGACGTATGAAGATTGTAACTGAGATTTGAAGTTCTCATGATGAAAATAATAATTAGGCAGTGCTCCATTCTATTTCTTGAATTATGAATACTCTTGCTTGCCATGAGTTTGCTCAGCTGAAATTTTGTTTTTCAGTGCAAGCAAGATCGGACACTCTTCCAGGAATGATCAAGAAGTCGTTCCAATCAAAGATGTCCTTCCCTATTCCTATGAAGTCATTTTTCTCGAGGCACCAAGGGTTGTTGGGCTTAGCATCGGTGCTGACAACTATGCAACCGAAGATTACAGACTTTCATGCTTTGTGCAAGAAGCAACTCAGTTTGACAGATCTCTTTCTCAAAGCTCCAGAGCACATTCCTCGATCCTGAAGGACCCAGGGAGCAAGACAGATTTGATCACGTTCATACGAGAGAGTTTGCGATGTTACGACCAAGCTCTACCCGAGCTGATTGTAGTCTTTTTAGCTGGGAGGAGTGTGACTCATGATAATGAGATGTTCTTTGCTCCATGCACTTTCAAGTTTGACAGCAAGACAAAGGTTGAATTTCAAGACTATTCTCTAAGCCTAAACACACTATTCTCGTTGCTGAGAGAATTTGAAGACAGAAACATGCTTGAAGAAAATGATATGACTTTCGTTGTCATCACGGACACATATTCTCAGTCAAGTTGTCCTCAATTTCTTGCTCGAAGACCTAGCAGCGAGTCTGTTCCGACTTCGTGGTGTTGGTGTATTTCTTGCAGGAATACTTATCATGGCTGCCAGGTGGAAGGTTCAGAGTTCTTCAATGCCATCATGGATTACCAATATGGAATCTTTGGAAATAACAGGAAGATGCGAGAAACCATGTTGTCATGTGTTACAAGAACCAATGGAGAACAGAATTCTGCAGTGATTTTGAACCCACATCAAATCCCACGAGACCTTTGCCTTATCAAAACAAAGGAGTCAAGAGATCAGATTCAGAACGTCAGCAAGGCTATCGCTGATCTGGTTGAAAGCCTCTCAATCCCTTCATCTTCAGTCTCAGAGCATCTTTTAGATAGCACGACGGTTTTGGTAGCTTATTCCAGTGAACCAGGGGTTGTTGGAGTCATTCCCGATGAAGTATTGAAGAATCTATGTGAAACAGATACCTCGATATTCGACGATGATTCTCATTCTTGCTTTTTTCTTTCATCATTCCTGATTTTCTTCTTATGGTCAAGAGACACAAAGTCTGATCCTGAATGGTTGCTCTCTCAGTACAGATCAAAAGCATCTAAATTTCGCAAATCCGATTTCGAGAAATTGAATAATGATTTGCTTTGGTATAAGATTGTTTCTCCATCATTTGAGTCATGGAGGATCTCCAAGGGGATAAAAATTTCGAATGAAAAACTTTCCATAGGAATTCTAGACTACACCGTTATGACCGAGCTCAAGCGACATTCACTTGGAACATTGCAGATGTGGAGAGAGCAGATCATGCCCGATTGTTACTGCGTGAACACAAGTTTAGAGCAAGCGTTGCATCGTATGGAAGAATTCTTGAAAACTTTCTTTCAGTCTGATGAAGGTCGGAGTATTTTGCTCGATGGCCATTCTTTAAGATTGGACAAGGCATTCAGCAACATGGTGATCTTGAAGATGAGCGAACTAAACAGCGCTTTCTTTGGTAATTTCGTGATAAGAAGTGCAAGAAAGCACAAAGAAGGCGCTCTGACAGGATCTCATGTCTCTCAGCTCATGACTTGGATGAGCAGCAGCGGTTGGCTCATCAGCGATGGTGACAACCAGGAGGAATGGACCGCGATCAGAGAGACTTGGGTTGACACACTGAGCACTTCCTTTCAACGGCTGTCACAGCTTCATTTCACGGCAGAATGGACCAGACCGGCAATGCAGCTGCGAACAGGTGAAACATGATGTAAGTTTGCGATGATCAAGAACTAAGGAGCTTGTGGCAGTTGCTAAGTCAACAACCGAGGACAGAAATAGAAAACGTGAGCGAGAAGATGGAAATCTTGTCGAAGAAAACACGTGTGATGTATGAACATCTGAGATTTTGATTTGATCTTGATCTTAACTGTGAATCACAGACGTCCATGCTTGAGTCATTTTGTTCGAGCATCCATGAGAACAAAACAGAAATAACTTGCTCATTAGTGCCTCATCACCATCAAAACTTGATTCTAGAGCAACCTCAATTCCTCGAATCCCGACCATCAAAACAGAAGAAAGCTGGACGTCACAATCATAAATGCATCAACGAAACATCGCAAGAGCACTCTATCAATCAGATGGAAGATCATCAATTATGTGATACACAACGAGGATCCCCACGCTCTGAAATCGATGACACGGAATCAGAGGATACAACAAAGTTGGACTTAGATGAGTTTCACAAACAAATGCAGACAACTTCCAAACAGATCAAGAAAGCTGCTGGAATGCATTGCATCATGGTCATCGGTGAAACTGGCATAGGCAAGAGTACCATCCTCACTGCCATGATCAAAGGAATGTCTTCCTTGCATGCAAAGAAAGAAAGAGGCGCTGTCCACCTCGTATCAGAGGGCGATCCCATCACTGATGACCATGGCAACGAGATCTTCGTCATCGGACATGACCGCGGAAAGTCGCAGACTGACGTGCCAGGCGTGTACAGAGACGCCAAACGGAAGGTGGCGATCTGTGACTGCCCCGGCTTCAAGGATACGCGTGGCAAGACATTCGAGATCGCCAACGCCATCAACATCAGCGGGATCATCACCGTCGCTAAGTCGGTCACCATCGTCGCCGCCTTCCCCTACGCCAGCATCGCTTCTGCTGAGGGACGCGGGGATGTGCTGAGAGAGCTGCTGCAGAGCCTGCGGTCCATCTTCTCCGTCAAGGACGAGGACCTCTCCGGCCTGGAAGCTGTCATCCCCCTCGTGCTCAAGACACCCAAGCTTGATGAGGGCGGGGACCAGGTCACCATCGAGAACCTGCGCGAGATGTTCCTCTCCCTGCTCAGCTCCAACAGCGACGACAAGATGGCTTGCGAGACTCTCGCCAAGAACCTGGTGGCCACAAGCGCGATGCATGCCTTCAAAGAGGACACAGGGCTCACCAACGCAGACGACCTGATGGATCTCTTCCAAACGACTCGCTGTCGGGTGTACGAAGCCTTGCACCTGGGCTTGCCTCTCACTCAATCCATCCAGTCGGATCTGAAGTCAATTCTTCGTAGAGTCAAACGAAATGCAGCCAGAAAGATTGAAACTAGATTTGAACAAACAACTGCAACGCGCGAAGATTTTGCAGCTGCATGTGAAGAGGAAATGAACCTCCTAAAGGTGCTCAGGAAGTGCAAAGTGCCTGGAGCTGACAGAGTCATTGCTGAAGTGAAATCCCTTCAACGCAACTTTACCCAGTGCCTCCTGGAACGAAACAGTGAGCATTACGTTGCGAAGCTTGTGAGGGAGGTGGATACCGCGATCGCCAAGATCGATTCGGATGTGTGGGAGATGATCGGGCACGACTTGGACTCTGTCCAGCTTCCTGACTTCAATCACTTGGGGATGCTCAAGATGAGCATCAAAGTCGACCCTGACATCTCTGAGTCACAACGCTCAGATCTCCTCGCCAAGATTCGAACCACCCGGCAGAAAGCGATGCAGATGTTCTTCAATGCCATGAGTCAGAGAACTGACAGGTGTGTCCGATCCTTTCACTACAAGGTGATGGAGCAGGCCAACCCCGACGTGGACGCTATGTACAGAGACATGCTGCAGGGCCTGCAGAACGATGTCGAGCGGTGTGAGCTTGTTGAACACGATAAGAAACACTTGCTTGAGAGGCTTGCGACGGCAAAGCGAGAAGCGTTGAAACAAAGGGAAAGAATCTCGTCTGTCGATCCAAAGTGGAAGACCAAAATGCTTCAGGTGAACAAACATTTCAGCACAGCAGAGAGAAATCTAAGGTCAACGCTCGACAGAAAGATCAACAGGCAAGACTTCTCGCCGCTTGACATGTCACCCCTGGACAAAGTCAGAAAGGAGATACAGTCCTCGCAAAAAACCCTCGACGAGGCCTCGCTGAGCATACTTACCAACCAAGTCGACAAGCTTCAAAGTGATCTCTCCTCCAGGCTCCAGAGCGCTAAAGAAGTCGCCCAGCTCAGCCAAGAACGTAAAGCCAACCAGCAGGCCAATCAGCTCATGCTGGAGCTGCACGAGGCGCTGCTGGATTACGATATGGCGGTAGAGAGACTGATCGCCTCGGAGCGGTTCGGCAGTCCCAACGGCTCTAAGCTGCAGCAGATCAAGACCAAGATGGAGCAGATGCAGGACAGCAGGTACGACGGTCTCATCCAGCAGGTCAACGACAAGATCCGCTCGTCTGCCGACAAGATCGGCAAGGCCAAGCTCGAGTATGACGTGCAGATCCTGGCAGAGAAAGTCAACAGCCTGACCGACGAGATCAAGAACAGCTCTTACCGAGCTCACCCCCCGCCCGTGTTTCCCTTCACTCAGCAAGTCGGCGCGCTTCGTCGTGACATCGCCAGCCTCGAGAGCTCGAGCGGGAAGCAGCTGAAGCACTTGTCATCCAGACTCACTGGCGCCGTTGACCAGTGGCAACAGATGGGCAAGGAGAAGAGAGACTCAGCAGCTGTCCAGCAGAGAGAGCAGAAGGCGTACGAGGAGTATGAGAGGTTCCGCGAAGAGATCAAACGCGCCAAGGCAGCGTACAAGAAAGCACTTGACGACAACATCAAAAATCAGAAGTTTATACTCCCAGATGCGACCAACTTGAATCAGCTCCTGACGACGATTGAGAGGTCAACGATCTTGCAAGGGAACGAGAAGAAACGAGAGCAGCTGGTGTCCAGCATCTCCAGAGCCTTTGATAGTGCGGAACAACTGTTAGAGGAGAAGAAGTTTTAGTGCACAGGCTTGTGAAGCTTACTAGGGCTCCGAAGCTGTCTGGCTATGAAGTGTCGACTCTCAGATATCAACCTTTGTGGATAAACGTTTCTGACCCTCAACATCATCATTTCAACAGCCTGAGACTTGTATGATCTTAAAGTGGCAGCTGACCATTCCAACTACGACTTGGCCGCCCGGAAAATAAATACCGTCAGTACTAACTGAGAAAGGCCCACTGACTGAGCCTCGGAAAGGGCGGGCCCGGCGGTTTGAGTCTTTACCCAAAGTTAAGTCAAAAATCAGTACGAGGACAATCCGATGATCAGGAGAGCAGAAAGGCCAACCACCAGACTGAGTTCGGAGAGGAGCACCGGGCCCCGCACACCTGTCCGATCCTGCCGCCCGGCCTCTCAGTACGCTGACTGAGTCAACCTGCGACAGTGCCGGGCACTCTGATAACTGGGTGCCAGTGCGGGCAGTGAGACTCTCAATACACCTCAGTAGAGCAAAGTTGCTGCCCCCGCTAGCATTTATCTGAGGCGGACTTCATTTACTTCCTCTGACTACGTTCTTTTTTAGCTGTTGGTACAAAATGGGGAGCTAGTGGTAGTACTCATGTGAGAAGGGGCACTAGCAGAGAGGAAGCGACGATAGTACGAGAAGAATCCTGTTCTCCTTCGTTGTCGCAGGTGGAAGGGTCGGGAGATGCGAACTAGAGAGCAAGACAAGTCAAGCTCAAGTTTGTTGCTTTGTAGACCAGACGGTTGCAGGGCAAAACGTGAAGGGAGCCGAAGATGGAATGAAGGAGTGAGGGCAGCAGGAAGAAGAGACGAACAGGAGAGATTATGATGTCGAGACCAGACGAAGTTAGAGCGCGATGCAAGAACCATGGTGAAAGAGTCGACAGAGGAGCAACCAAGAAAGCGTTTGTCAATGTGATCGTATATCGGGGCACTGCTCTGATAAGGACATGGTTTCTTGTCAGAGGGAAACATAGGATGTTATGTTGAACTGCATCGTTCTTTGACACTGACTCTGATCAAGTCACCATGATGAAACAATCAAGCTTCAGCTCTCGAGCCAGCAATCGGCCAACTGAGAGAAGCGGAAACAACCTGTTTTCGTGAGTTTGCTATTGTTCTCCTGTCCCCATCCTCACCCCTATCATCAGAGGCATGCTGATGCGGCGATCGGACGGTTTTTTCTTTTCCTCCAGCAAGAGGGTCTGGTGCGTCCTCCATGCAGACGGCACTCTTGAGTTCTACAAGGACAGCAGCGAAGGTTGAGTGAGACGGAGGAAGGATTGACACCTGAGATGATGCGTTTACAGCTCCTGCGGAGATCGTAGAGGTCACAAGGTGACTACACGTCAAGACTGTGAACTTACTCCTGCTCCTGCTCCTGCTCCTGCTCCTGCTCCTGCTAATGCTCCTTCTTGTGCTTCTACTGCTCCTTCTCCTGCTCTTCCTGCTCTTGTTCTCCGCAGAAAAATTCTCGACCTACTTTCCGTGCAGCACCAGTATCTCCCTCAGCATCTCCCTCGCTTCTTCCCGCTCCTGCTCTTGCTGCTCTCTGTGATCGGGACGTTTCCCTGCAGCTTCGCAGACCACAGCATGAACCCTCTGATCAAGCTGTCGGATGTTGAGATCTGCGTGAGAAGTTGAGAAGAGGTGTCAAGACAGGCTGAGACATTTTGCAGATCACTTACGTCAAACACAAGTCTCCTCTTGAGGAACTCCATGGCGGAATGAAGGTTGAGAAGAGGGATGATGGTGGAGATGATAGTGGAGATGATGGAGATGATGAAGATGATGGTGGAGGTGGTCATGGTGATGATAATGATGATGATGACGATGATGATGATGATGACGACGATGTTAGTGTAGTTGTGGTCGTTGTGGTCGTTGTTGTTGTTGTTGATTGATTGATTGATTGATTGATTGATTGAGACTTGTAATGGAATATTTCAGTGTGTGAGGGACGCAATGGGTAAAAAGCATTACGTGCCGGACAAAAAACAAACACGATGAACATCCGGTGAGCCTGCTGCTGCTGCTGCTGCTGCTGCTGCTGCTGCTGCTGCTGCTGCTGCTGC